AACTCCGATGTTAGTGCTTCCTATATTAGGTGACCAATTTGGAAATGCTGAAAAACTTGAGATGGCAAGCATGGCTTTGAGACTTTCGAAGGATGATTTAGAATTAAATGATATTGTATCAAAGGTCAAAAGATTATTAAATGAAAATAGTTTTAAAAAGAATGCCGAAAGATTGCAGTTTTTAGCTAAAATAAATAGTAAAAGAAAATATAGAGGTGCTGATTTAATTGAAGCCACGCTGAACACGATGAGTTAAAGATGAGAATGGTGATGTTAAGATCAATAATGATGATTTCTTAAAAGATTGGATCACACCTGATACAAGGATGGGTTATATTAAAGGAAATTATTTGGATGTTTATGGTACAACTCTTACTATTTTATTATTATTAATTGGTGGAATCATCTATGTTTCATGGAAAATTGTTGGATTCTTTTATTCTCTAAAGTTCTTAAAGTTAAAACGCGAATAAGCATTTCTGTAGATATTTTTAATTATAATCAATTATTTGATGATGGTGTCATAGCACTAAAATTTGCCAACACTTTATTTTTTAGTAATGATAAGGGTGTAATATTTTAATGGCTCAGAATTTTAGGAGGCTTTTAGTTTATTTATAGCGAATGGTTTATTCTACTATAGTACAAATAATGTATAACTTTTATATATCTGTTAGCGCATGTGTTATAAATTTTATATGGAATTTTAATTGCATATGTTTATTAAATTGCCCACTGACATCAGATATCGTTATTGAAATTATACAAATAGCTGATTGAATTTATTAACAAAAAGTGACAAAATGGGGCCTTTGCAAAGAAAAGGCCCATATACACTATAAATCAAAACCGAGTTTTTTGAATAAATTTTGAGACAGTTAAATTTTTCAATTATAAATGGATATTAATTTGCATATTAAAAATTCTAATTAAAGGTTATAATTAATTCTATTTAAAAATTACTACTAATTTTAATTAAAGAACTAGCCCTAGTTACATTAAATACGATTATAGGAAAACTAAATTAAGATACATGTCCTATCGAATCGATTTTTGCAAAAAAGAGAAGTATTTTTATTGTTCAGTTTCATAAAAAAATGATAACCATATCGTAATGAATGAAATTTTACCAGAGTCAATACGAAGCGGAAAAAATTAGCAAAAAATTTCAATATAACCAAACATGTGTTTTCTAACAAATTTTTTCTTTTTTTAAGGGGAATTTACACATCGGGACCCAAATTTGAAAATAATTATGAATGACAACTTAAAATATTTATTTATAAAAGCCTAATTTTAGAAAATATTACAAATACGGGAATTTTGCGTCTTATGTTAGAATTTTTAAGATTGATCAAGAAAAGCCCATTGTGGCTTAAGCACGATCTCAAGCCAATCATGTTTTAACTTATACGTACGTACGTAACTCAAATTTTACTTCTGCCGCATATTAAATGTCATCGTGCTGCAAATTAACAAATGTAAATTAGTAATCATATATTCAATATATGGGTATAAAGACATTGTCTATCAATAAATTTCTTTCGTCTCGATTTTCTAACAGATTGCTTATAAATATCTTCATTTTCGATTGTAAACGTTATCGTTATGTCAAACACATTACAATTTTGGATGACATTTACTTGGAGAAACAGCATATGAAGACCAAAATACTTGCAAAAAATACGGTAAAAAAGGCCATAATGTACGAACTTGTAATCGAAGACATATGGCAGAAAAAAAGTTAATTTACAATGCTCAATGGAAAATTGCATTCATATAAATGCTGCCTTTGTTTCGCTAATTCAATGTAACGATTTTTTTTTAATTTGTATAATTATTATTCTTTTTACATATTAAGTAAAATATCGTATTTTCTATAAAAAATCCATGGAAATCTCGCCCGGGTCGCATCTCTAAAAGAAACTAAGCGCTAATAAATTTGCCAGATTAAAATGAAATGAAATATTGTACAATGTAAAAATAGACAAGCCAACGAAAAATAAAATTTTTAAAGTGCATTTTTTAGGGTTAGGCGTTAGGGTTAGAGGCGAGTTTTAGGGTAGAGTTTATAATACAGTTAATACTGTCTAATTGTATATACTCTCTAAATGCATAAAAAATTTTGACTTTTAATTATTAACGCAAAAATGGTTCTTATGACTTAAATGCATATCTTATATGCATAAAAAATCTCTGACAGATAGTATGCAATTAGATAGTATCGACTATATTATAAGGATAGGAATATATTTCTGCAAAATTTTCTGGATTTGCACATTGCTATACTTGCCAACGATATAGCTATTTCTACAGAAATTTTCATTATTTTATATAAATCTTTTGAGTTGGTGTTGAAATAGTAATACAAACAATGACCATCCATTTTATAATAATAAATTTGAAAAAAGACGATAAATTTTATCAGAATTTTAAAATCAGGGTTGGCACATTTATCCATTGGAACGAATGGAGAACAACTCCATTGACATTGCTCCATTGAAGGTCAGCTATAGGTATATGAGGCTAGAGATTAGAACCCTATACTTCATCTGCTTCATTAGATATTTCTATTGGAACCATTAGCTTCACTGGATTCTCCGCTGGCTTCTTTAGGTTCTCCATTAGCATCTTGGCTTCATTCACTCAACTCGCTCCATTGGTAATTTTTTCAATGGAATATATCCATTACCAACCTTGAATCAGAGATAAATAATAATGGTATAAGGGAATTTTAATAGTTACGAATTTTTAGTCAATAAGATAACATAAAATATCCAATTATTTATCTAGTTATTGATATTTGCAAATTCCCGATCGATTAATTATATCGATCGATCCATAGCGATAGTTTTGTAAAAAAAAAAAAAAAACAGTGTTCACTTCTAAACTAACATTTAAATCTTAAAATATAACTAATATTCTTTATTATAATAAAAATTTTTTGCTACTTCATATTTTCATACTATCAATATTTTTTTTCCTTTTACGCCAAAATCCTTTGAAGTATCTTATTTTGAAAATGACGTTTTCAGACTATCACGAAATCAAATTGAGCTTTATTGATTGGTACTCACGTTATTATCTACATAATCTCAATGCTAAGATTCTTTTGCTAAACATTTAACAACATTTAATTATTTTTATATATCTATTTATTGAATGAAGATTTAATTGTCATAACCTTTTTAAAGATCTAAATTGGATTTGCACGTCCTAACCCAACCATTGCTTAATTTTAATATAGCCTCTTGATAATGTATTTAAATTTTATTTAGAAAGTATAAAGAGGCTAATTTTCACTTTATATTATCTTAATGATTGTTTATAAAATATACAAATCCGAGATAAAATGCGAATTTGATTTTGATTATACAGTATATTATTTTAATTATTAATTTATATAATAAATAATATATATTTATTGGCTGCTTCGCATCCAATAACTATATAATATTACACAATCTACCTTATTATAAATAAAACTATTACCTAATTTTATTTATTAAATACACTATATCCTTGCTATAAAACATTTGCTAATCTATACTATAGCTCGAAATTTCCTATTAAATACTTTAATTATATATAAAATTATTTATAAAATTTGTCAAATTATTAAATAAAGCTTTTCTCAGACTCGATGTCTTAATTAAATGGAAAATATTAGGAATCGATTTCTCAGGTGTGAAATTATTTTACGTTTATTACCATCGATCCTATTCTCGAATTTCATTATTACCCTACATTACACAACCCCGTGCCCTTATTATTAATTACATCGCTAACGTCATGATTAAGCTGTCCTTAAATTAAATGCGTAACTATGATTTTAATCATTTAAGTAATCAACCTCATTCTGATTAAACTATTCATTGCACATCATGTACAATGCACTTTAACGTTCTATATAGTAATACTTATCAGTTAAAATTAACAATTGAACCTTTTATTGTGATTGTTCTCCTGGTACAATAGTAAAATTTTCATTAAGATTTTTTATTTTTCGCTATACTTTTCATTATGATCTGTGATTATCAAAATAATCTGATAGTAAAAAGTCTGTATCGAAAGAAAAAAGAAAAATTGGAAATTTAAACTAAATAAAATTATGCAGGAATATCTCAAACATATGAAATGAAATATAGGGCTAATAAAATAGAAATAACACTAGACTTATTTAGCTAATTCGTCAAAATTGAATGTGTTACGTATTAAGCGTCTATCGGCAAGAATTTTAACTGGCTAGTATTAAAGAATCCTTTAATACATTATTGTATTTTTTAAATAACTACATAAATTATGTTACAGTTACGAACAACGTACTCATACATAACATTTATAATGTCAACAAGCATGATAAATCAGCTAGTTCAGGCGGTATTGGTTCAAACGATGCCGGGTTGAGTTTCAAACTGAGTCATTTAACTTTCTAACATATGAACAAAGGAGGAAACGTCGTTACACGACTGAACCTTCACCCGGTGTGCAACATATAAAAAAATTAATTTACAATACCAGATCATAGATTGTTTTTTAAAAAATGGGTTTATAAAGAAAATGTGCTTATATAGGAGGTGACTATAGAGATGCTTTAATGTACTAGCGGGTGAAGGTTCAGTCGTGTAACATTAACGTTTCCTCCTGTTCATATGAACTATAAGAATTTTCATATATCATGTGAGTTTGAAATTATTATTGAAATCGTTCAAGGAACCCTTTTTTTTTTTATTAGTGTAATAATTAAATTCATATCGGTGGGTTTCTATTTTGTTTTGTAATATGATTCTTAAATGGTTGTATACTCCTTACCATTTCATTTTAATAATTTAATATTTTGGATCTTAGATCTTACTTAAACCATAACCGAAATCTGCTTCTGGGCTCTCTATTTAAACTCTGATTTTTTATCTTCAACCATTATTCCTAATACATTTTTACGTTTCATTTCACTTTGTTCCTGATACATAACTTTATTAGTTCCAACCTTAAGTTGTAAAATGAATTTTAAATATTTGATAGCCTCGGTTTTAATCCTCACAATTGTTACCTTATCAACAATCGCCGCCCCTATTAAACCTATTGAAAAGAGATTTATTGAAGAGAGTAATGTCTTTTTATTACATATATTAGTATTTACAACTTATAATTCATATTTTATATTCACTGTATATTATACTCGATAAATATATACTGGGTTTGCTCTTAATATTTTACTAACTTCATATAAATCATTATTAGACACTATTTATGTTAACGAACTCTATGTGGGTGGTCGTTGGAAAATTTCATACGAGGAAGATGAAGCACTAGTTTTTCGTGATCTTCGAGGCTCAGGTGATAAAAGATTTGCTATGTATAACGATAGATATGTTGACATTAGTTAAATGGTACTGTGAAGTTGTGCTTTTAATAGCATAAAAATTTGATTGGAAAGCTTCAATTAAATTAATTTTATTAAAGAATATGCTTCCAATCTTAACAAATACTTAAATAAACAACACTCATTATTTTGAGTAATCAGTTCTTTTTTTGACTTCATTTTATGATACATATATTTATTAAAATAGTTGGTTTGATACTATCTACTGAATAACTTTATATTCATATAATTTATCTTTATTGAATTCTATAATACTTCATATCGTTTATTCCTACAATTTTTTTATAACTTTCCATTATTCGGATTATTCTGGTTGAAAATGCAATATAAGTCCGTACTTTATTATTAATGTTATGGTCTAATTTGTATGTGAGACAACAAATATTCATTAATTTTTTCTATTTTGAAAATGGGGTCTTCTCTTAATTTTATTAATTAATAAATTTTTTTTTTTGTCCTTTAGACAAATGCAATTTGTTTTCTTTTAAAGAACTATTTATTATTCATGTCGGTTCAACAAATCTTTTTTCGCAAATTTTGAAAAAGAGCATGTGAATTATATATTAGTCTCATAAGGCCGTTCGAAGTTGATTCTTTGGTTAACATCATCCCCCCTCCCTCCTCTGAAGTCTCCCCCCGATAAACGAACAACCAATCAAAACGCTGGATAACTTTCGCCAATTACTTGATTTACGTCGACCAATGAAATTGGCCCATTTTTATATGTTCGTTTCATTTTACCCCCCTCCCCCCTCCCTCTCCCAAGAGTTCTAAAGGTGATGTTAACCGAAGAATTAACTTCGAACGGCCTAACAGATTACATTATGCCAAAAAACAATTATTCAACTTTGCATTAATTGTGGAGGATTATGCTGAAATTTGAGCTCTTTTTTAAACCTACTGTATAATACCTACTAAAATTCAAATTTATTTACTCTTTTATTAATAATAATATTTTTAACCCTAACTTAACTATAAAAAACAATTTAATAATAAAATCTACGAAATTTCAGTATAATTCAATTTTAGTATAATCCCTCATTGTCAGGTATTACATTACGATAACATGTATAGTATAGTCAGTCAAAGTGATATACAGTATAATACGAAATGTATAGTATTTATAAAATTTTAAAATATATTATACATTCTGTATAATTTTGATAAAAAAAATTATACATTTAATATAATGTATAATAAAAAAATTTATACTTGTAATAAATAAGTTATAGTTATTGTGCTTTGAAAAAAGATGCCAATATCGTATGAGAATCAGAAATAATGTAGATTTTAAGAATATTATCGATTTCAAATACATAAATATAGCTGATTGAAATATAAATTAATAAACAATTAGAATCTCAGTATTTTCCTCGAACATCATTACAAAAATCATGGCTACATCTTTTTTGAGAAGCGCTATAGTATGAATTACTAACAACACTCTACACGGAAATCGGGAATCGGGAATAATTAATTTATATTCTAACATTATTTATGTTTTGTTTTAAGCTTTAATGAAGATATCTTAATAACGCTTGGTTAATTTAAATGTTTAAGGCTGTTTTCAAATCTATTGATTTATAGAAATCGAAAAATGACTTCGTTCAAAATTTGAGAATACTGTTGAAAAAAAAAACTCTAGAAATTTTATTGTTTGGTTAACAAAACAAAAACCTAATATAATAATAGATATTATACTAAAAAATTAGTTTTCTAAGAGAATCTTTGGAATTTTGTAAAAATGTAGATTTCCATGCGATGTGTACTACTTTTATCGCTCTTTTCAAATTAGTGTATCCATCAAATTTTGTAGATATCACTGAGAATCCGGAAATCTGGAAATCGGCAATTTGATAATCATATCTCAAACTTTTTTAAATTTTGAGCGAGATATCTTGACAAGCACTAGACAAAATTTAACAATTTTTTTTTTATTTGAATTATACTGATTTGTTGAATTCAAATTAATAAAAGGTCATTAAATTTGACCCAAAAAACCCTTCGCTAAAAGTTAAAAAAATTTAATGGATTTTTCTTGAACTTTGTGCGAATATACTGTATCTTGACAACCATAAACTTAATTTTGATAAACTTTTCTTTTTTATTTGAATTCTATATTAGTAGAATTCAAATAAAAAAAAATTAATCAAAATTTGATTGATAATTGTCGAGATCAGTGTTGGCTTGACCAGACCAGTTTGACCATTAGACCAGACCAATTTGACCAATTGACTGGTCTGGTCAAAGGATCTGTGCTGGTCAAATTGGTCAAATAGTATATTTAAATATAATTTTATTATATAATATATAT